TGTGCGGTAGATCATCGTATAGTTCTAATAAGGAACCCCCAACACAGTATTGGTAACTATTTAGGCCCCTAAACCCTAAACCCTAAACCCTCAAACCTAAACCCTAAACCCTAAACCCTAAACCCAAACCCCTGCAGCCTGTCTACTGTATATATTTAGGTATATATTTAGGGCTCAAAGTGCTTATATAGGGATTACTTTAAGGTAATTGGAGCTTTTGGGTTAGCGAATATTTTTGATATGGGACAGGAAACGAAGCAAGAACAAGCTAATTTACGATATTTTCAAGTTGGGATTTGGCGAAGGCCGTCCATCCCGCTTCGACCCATCTGCGTTCCCGGCCGTAACCCAAGAATCGTTTTATCCCTGACAAGTTCAGCTAATTGTGAGACGAAAACTTCTTGTAATCAAGGATGCTTGGCGTCCAAACGATGACATTCCGCCCGGTGCTCGACCTGTATACCCAGGTCGGAAATGGCGTGCCAAGCCTTCTTGTGTCTTGAAGCCAGCCGATTTTTGGCTTGCACAGCTGCATCACTGCCGGTCAAACACGAGAACAGCTTGCAAGGAAAGCCTCGGCGTGGCATCCGAAGTAGCTGGTGCAACACTGCTGCGAGACGCGCCACCAACCGAAACAGCATGACGCACACGGATCACACACGCCACTGGTACGGTACTGCAGGGATGAGTTCCTGCAGCGTGACGGACAGCCCTAAACCCCAAACCCTAAACCCTAAACCCTAAACCCTAAACCCTAAAGCAGCCTGTCTACAAACCCTACACCCCGAAGCCTCCCACCTATCGCCCAAACCGCAAAAGCACTGAACCCTCATCCTTAAGACCGTTGTTACCCCCAAAAAGCCCAATATCCCTGAATTAAAAACTACACTCACTATACCTTAAGCTTAAACAAAAACAGTAAGGCCCGTAGAATCGCAGGTATATTACTTAAGTAAGGAGTAGCGGGCTCTCTGGTTACAGAACCCCTGTTTCGGTTTAGGGTTTAGGATTTAGGTGACCCTTATAAAACCCGAAAGCGAATCCTAAACCCAAACCCTCAACCCCCAAACCCCTAAACCCTAAACCCTAAACAACCCTAAACCCTAAACCCCTAAACCCTAAACGATAAAAGGCGCCCTTTGGAAGGCCTCAACTCTCAGCCCCATTGCCGAGGCCAGGACAAGGCCCAGCTGGAAAAGAGTGACATGGTGACCTTGTCACGGTTTAGGGTTGAGGGTTTAGAGTTGAGGGTTGACGGTTGAGGGTTTAGCGTTTAGGGTTTAGGGTTAGTTGTATACAACTTGGTAACCTAGAGGACTCCTTAAAAGGGATCTATAAAGCTTCTATACGGATACTACAAGGGTTCTATAAGGGTACTTGGTGGTTCAAGGGACCTAGTTTAGCAAGTACATCTATAAGTTGACTGGGGCTACAAGCGACGTTCAAGTATCGTAACCTTGTTGATAACCCTAGTTAGTAAATCCCATGACCCACCAAGCAGACCCGAAACCTTAATCCCTCAAAGGAACCCTAAAAGGGAAGCCTATTATAGGACCCAATTTATAACCCTAGTTACTCAGTATTCAGATCCTGTAAGCCCTACTAAACCCTTAAAGATCCCGTCAAGAACCCTTTGACGGAACCAACCCTAAACCCTAAACC